AGTACAAGGGCCAGGGTTTTTACTGTTCTGGCGTTCCCGTGTAACCAATTTGCCGGGCAGGAGCCGGGGACGGCGCTGGAGGTGAAGGAATTTGCCTGCACGCGGTTTAAGGCGGACTTCCCCATCATGGCAAAGATTGACGTGAATGGCAGCAAGGCACATCCGCTGTATGAGTTTATGAAGGCAACAATTCCCGGTCTTTTTGGCACTAAAGCCATCAAGTGGAACTTTACTTCGTTCCTTATTGACAGGCATGGTGTTCCCGTGGAGCGTTTTTCGCCTGGTGCATCTGTGGAAGATATTGAGAAAAAACTTTTGCCGCTTCTTGGTGGTGCTAGGATTTGAGTGGGGTAACTATTTCTTCGGGAAGAGGACGAGGGTGATGGAAGGGTGTGTGCGTGTATGAGGATGGGGGCATTGTTTTGAAGGCTTTTTGGTTTGTGTCTGTGTATGCGTGTTGCCTTTTTTTTTTTCTTTTCTGTTTATATATATATATATTGTTTTGGGGCCTGTGCATATACATGGATGGATAAGGACAAATACACGCGGAGAGGAAGAGGCATGAGGACCAAATAGGAAAAACATTTGGAAAACACGACAATGTTATGTATTTATTTTGTATGTATTGTATGTCTGTGAGCACGCATTTCTGCTTGTAAAGGGGGAATCCTTGCCTTTCTTCCTTCCTTCCTTCCCTCTTTTTTTCTTTTCTTTTTTTCTTGTTGACCATGGGCAGCGAAGAAGAGTGTAAAGGGGAGATAATTAGCATTCATAAGGAAGAAGAGGCTAAATAAAAAGATACTCGCAATAAGGATTCTCGCGTACGTAAATATATACACAAAAGATAAGAAAGACGAGCAACTTTAATACAAAAACAGAGAGTTAAACGCGAGTGCGAGTGTGTGTGTGTGTGTGTGTGTGAAGGAGAGAACAATGACATCTGAAGGGACAGATAACGCTCATTCTAGTATCTATGACTTCCAGATACTAGACGCTGACCATCAGCTTTATGATCTCTCGCAGCACAAGGGACATCCACTGCTGATCTACAATGTGGCGAGTAGGTGTGGCTACACGAAGGGTGGCTACGAGACGGCCACGACGCTCTACAACAAGTACAAGGGCCAGGGCTTTACTGTTCTGGCGTTCCCGTGTAACCAATTTGCCGGGCAGGAGCCGGGGACGGCGCTGGAGGTGAAGGAATTTGCCTGCACGCAATTTAAGGCGGACTTCCCCATCATGGCAAAGATTGACGTGAATGGCGACAAGGCACATCCGCTGTATAGCTATTTGAAGCGCTGCCTTACTGGATCAGCGGGTGTGCAAGCCATCAAGTGGAACTTTACTTCGTTCCTTATTGACAGGCATGGTGTTCCCGTGGCGCGTTTTTCGCCTGGTGCATCTGTGGAAGAGATTGAGATGCAACTACTTCCACTTTTTGAGGGCGAGGTTGTTTCCGGGTCCTCGTAGGTTTTTATTACGATACGTTGACGCTTACTACTTTGTGCCCATTTATTTATTTTGTTCTGTTATATGTTTCCCTCTCTTTTTTTTTTTTTTTTTTGGGGGGGTGGGGGGGGGGGCTCATTCTCTTTTTTTTTTTTTTTTATTGACTCCCCTCACGTTCTTTCGTTGTTGTTGTTTTCTGTCGGCCGAGATGAATTAGCAATTGCCATCCGTCTTCACTGTTGTTTCCATAATGGAATTAAACGATAGGAATATTGGGGATGGGGTAGCTGTTTGTTTTGGTTTTATTATTATTATTATTATTTCCCTCCATTATTATTATTATTATTGTTATTATTTCATTTTACGACAGGAATTGCGGAAAGGGAGGAGAGGAGGAAAAGAAAAGAAAAAAAATAAAAATCAAGAGGAACTATGGTTTACATTTTATTTTTGTCTCTCACTTTCACTCTCTCTCACACACACATTCTCTCTTTATATAATATATAATATATATAATATATATACATGTGTGTATGCGAAGAGTTCCTTGTTGCCATCTAATTTCCTACCAAGACGAAATACAAGCCTGGCGGTGGTGGGAAGGACACGAGTATCACGGCGCCATAAAAGAAGAGAGAGAGGAGTAAATGAAAATTAAAATGAGGCGACTTAAAATGATAGGAGTAGAGAGAGGGCTATTTGATGGGTGCAGTAGTGGCAAATCTTTTTTTTTTTTTTTTCTTAATTTGGAAGAGGGGAGGGAAGAGGAAAAACCCCTCTTTTCCCCTCTTTCTTCCTACACCCTCTATGTAATGCGTGAGGTGGGCTGTCTGGGGCACGTTACCCGATGCCAAAGCGCCATTTTGACTGGATGCACATGTTTAGAGATTTGTATGTTGTACGTTTTCTTCTTTTTTTCTTTTTTTTTTTGCCTTTTTTTGTTTTCTTTCGTTTGTTTTTTTCTTGTCGTACTTCGTTTAGGCTGCAGAGAGCTGAAGGAAGGGAGTCTGAGGAGGCTATTTCCCGTATACACGTGTTTTACGTTCTCAGGACCTTTTCGTGCTTTCTTTTGCCTACTTTCGATACTCCGTGCAGTTTGTGTGCGTGCGTGTTTCCGCGGTGCTACATCAGTATGCTTGGATACATTATCAACTCTGAGTTGAATGCCGACTGGGAATGAGACGTCCATTTTGTCTTTTTTGCGTGCAGGAACATTAGCAGGTTGTCCATATGTAGAGCAGGTAGCTTCTACTGTGAGAAAAGTCACTGTACCTCCTGCTGAATCAGCCACCTCTTTGTCATCTCCATTATCGCCTTCACTCTCTTCCTCTTCCTGCCTGTGGCCTCTTGCATTTTGTAATTTTGAGAATTGTCGTCAAGAGAAAACGCTTTTGTGGGCCACTGCTCTCCGCCACAAAGCCATCACGGCAGAGGCCAAGAAATTAGGTTTGGATGCGCTGCAGCGAGGTGAGGTGCGGAGACGCGCTAAACTTTTCTTCCATGTGGAGGGGCGGCATAAATGCGGCCCGAATGACACCGCTTCGGATGCGGAAAAACATACATTGGCGGACATTCTGAGGGAGGAGGTGGACGGGTGCCGTGCCTGGACAGATGTGGCCAATGGCACCAGATTTCAGATGAGTTTTCTCTTAGGCGGCGGTGATATGGTGGGAGTCGCAAAGGAGATGTCTGCCCTTGAGGCCACAATGTCCGGTCATGGTGACACAAGCCAAGCTAATCGTATTCGACTGTTGGTATGCGCCGTCGCCGTGGTGTCGGCGATGTTGAATCATTTTTGCCCACTTCGCTGGGTCATAACTGCTTCTACAGGAGTTCCGCATGTTTGGGATCAGGCAATTGCTCTTGTTGAGCAGCTTCTTAACGACGAGGCTATCGTCTCTTTTTTCATGGCCGAAGCGCTTGCATCGGCGATTATGTCTATTTCTTCTTCAGACGTGACGATGCGACGCTACGATGTCCTTTTGAAGGAAAAACGGAAAAGGATGTTGGCATGCATCCTTCCCCTCCAACACGTTTTGGGTGGGGGAGAGGCCGCACCCCTCTCCATTGCGGGTGTCGCAAAGAATACGCTTCACTTGCGTACAGAGACGCAGCTGCTTGACTTGAAACGAGGTTTGCAGAAGGAGCTGCGTGAGCGATTGGCAATTGCTTCAAAACTGGATCAGCGTAGCGTGGATCGGGCGCGGCAATTCAAGGAAGCATGTGAATTGTACCGAGCGACAGTGAAGGAAAACCAGACGGACGGACGCCACCCGATACTTCAAAAAAAAGGCCTTACCGCTCTCTCCCGTACTGACATTTTGCCTGGGCGGTGTGTCCAGTTAAGCGATGTACCCGGAGAGAACAAGTTGAGAACGGAAACGAAAAGAAAATTGAGCTGCGAAACCGACACCAGCACCCATGAAGCAAAGGTTACATCGTCCTGCTGGGAGCGCACAGTTTTAGAGGTTTGGAGGGCACGTCGCGAGGCCGTCCTTGGAGTGCTTCGGGAATACTGGATTGTTGATAATGGCTCTTTGAGGAGGAAAGGCATAGAGAAAAAAACGGAGACGAAGGAGAAGGCTGGACCTTTGTGGATGACCGATGCGTTGCTAGGGACTCTTTCACGTCAACTACTTGCATTGATCGGTGTACAGGGTCAGAATTTGATTTCTTTGTTGGATACACTCTGGAGGTGGATTGGATGTCAGCGTGACGCACTTGATGAGGGAATGTACACGGCACTTGCAGTTGAGTTGGTCGTTTTTCTTTTGGTTGCTAAATATTACTCTTCTCGTGCCGATAATTTGCTTTCGGAATTGATGGCTATTTTGAAGCATCTGGCGGGAATTCGTGTCCGCGATGATTTCTCTTCTCCATTACTCCAAAAGGTACCGGACGCGTTGGCTGTGGTTCTCTTTGATGCGGTGTTTTTTTCCCTTTCAACAGGGATTTCCTGTTTCTCAGAAGGGAATTCTGACGGTTCACGCGACCGTCGACTGTCATCGCCTGTCTCAACCTTGTTGTGGGAACTTCAATCCTCGGTCACGTTGAGGCATGCGGTGTCGATTCTTCAGGGCGGCAGTTCGCGCCAACTTCCAACAGGAAGTGGTGGTGTGAACCCGTTGTCATTAACGCCCTCTTTGGGGGACACTGAAGAATTGACGCTCTTAACCGACGTAGCAAGACATGGAAGGTGCGGCGGAGTTGCACTGAATGTGTCGCCCAGGCATGATGTGTGTTTTCTTGTGACGCTCACGGAGCTTCTTGGGACGAGTGTCTTTGCTTATTTGAAGGAAATTCCGATTCGTACAAAGAGGCCGCCACCGCGGTTTCTCAGTGAGGCACTATGGAATGCACTTCTACCACTGACCTCAGGGCTACTTCATCACATCCAACGCATGCATATCGAAAATGGGTCGAAGGCAGTACGCCGTTTCTTGGAGTTTAGTCGTGCCCTTGTTGAGGAATTGACACCGCGGTGGGAGTACAACATTGTGCCTACGCGGCGTCTACAAAAGAAGGGGGTGGCTATTTTCAACTATACCGCCGTGGAGCAAGAGTACGAGGCGAACCATGTTGTAGAGGATCGTGTGGTCAAGTTTACTTCTCTTCTTGAGTGGTTACTAATGGGGGCTTCTGAGTTCTTTCCGGAACTTCTCACGGATGGTCACAGCTTTTCCCGTATGTGCAATGCTGTTGGGCTTATTTTATACGATGTGGATGGTCGTACGGGACATAAGATTATGACGCACCTCCTCCGTCTTGTACCGCCTAAGGAAAAGATGGACATTGAGGCTTATATTGCAGCCATCCGTTGCTTGTCTTCTATGCGGCATGGTTGTACACTTTGGGAAGAGGCTGTAAAATACTACCGAGAAGCAGTTCATTTTATGGAGGATGATGCCAACGCAAAGGACGCCATGAACTCCCATCGTCGTCCACACGTGCCCGCAGATCTCTCCACTGCCCGTGTGTTGCGTTGTATTGGAAGTAGTCCCCTGCCTCACGTGCCTCGGTGTACGTTGACGTTACAAATCTTTGCGTTTGCTCGGGCATCCGGTGTTCCTTTAAGTCTTCAGTCGTATTCTTCTTGCTTACTTAACTTTACACTACGGAAGAATCCGCCCACGAAGGCGTTTTTTGTTGCACCGTGGTGTGATGCATTAGAGTGGTATGACGATGTTATGTCCCGTAGTGAGCAGGTGCCTTTGCCGAAACAAGATCCCTTATGTTTTCAGGTAGCATGCTTACAGAGTTTACTTGCACAGGGAGATTGGCCAGAGGCACTTTTTTCACTTCCATTGGCAGATATTGTCCGTCAACATGGTGACGACGCGGCTGAATTGAATTTAAGTCAATTTTCAGGGAAGGTGTCTTTCCTGCTGAGGCTATGTGCGTCCGATCGAACACGGAGCTGCGCCCATGCCGCGAAGTCGTTGCTCTACGTGTTTCAAACCCTACCCTCTCTTAAACCTGGTACGCAGGCGGCAAACCTTGAAGATATGCAGAAGTTGTGTCATGTTGCTAATAAATACCTTCCTGTGGTTTCTGAACCGAAATTAACGAACGGCGCACCGCTGTTTCGTCACGAGACACCAATAATTCCCAGAATTTCATTGGAGCTGGAATTTGAATGGGCGCGCTCTTTGGAACCGTTTGGTTTTTCTTTTTGCCATTTCTACCACATCCAGGATTCACTGATGGAAAAATTGGAGGCGGCCATTTTATCCCGCCTGCATAGGAGAAAGAGTGATACCGATGGGCGTGATGGAAAAGATTCAGATCAGCCTTCTGCAATTATACGAGTTCGTGAGCGTGTGTCTTGTACATTTCCTCTCCTTCAAACGGTGTGGTCAGCAGAAGAGTTTTTGAAGAAAACAAAAGAGGCAGATGGTGTGGTAAGGGGAGGTGATGATGTCCGCTCACGCATGGACACGTGCTATGCCAGTGTTATGCTGCCCCTGCGACGACTGGAAAGAATTCGTGCAGAGAAAAGACGAGGTATGCGGAGACGTGATCCGTCTTTGCGGCAAGATAGAGGGGGGAGGAGAGAAACGGGACGGAATGAGTGAATAAAAAAAAAAAAAGGAGAGAGAGTGAGAGGGACAATGAACGAAGGAAGGTGACTGGAGGTTGAGGCTACATGGAATGTAGTGGAAGTAGAAGTTCTGCTTTTAGGTTTCATTTCTACTTTTTTTTGTCGAATGCTTTTTTTTTTTTTTTGTGTGTGTGTCTTTCTGGGATTTATATAATAATAATAATAATAATAATAATTGCAGCTTATCGTTATTGCAAGCTCAAAAGAGAAGAAGAAGAAGAAGAAAAACAAACAAACAACAAAAATTGTCCGTCACTGAAATAGATGATGCGTTTTAGTCGGTGTTTAGGGGCTCCTGTCTTTTGCCGTATTATTGATGTTATGCGGCAAAACGAGCCGTATGCCCGACCAGGGATTTTGTATCCCATTCGTGTGGAACTGGGAAATAATGTGGAGAAGTGCACATCTCGTGAGCTGCAGGAAATAATTGACAATATGCTTTCTCGTTCCCAACGCTTTGCAACTGTGAAGACGGGAATGGTTTACAACTCAGATCAATCCGTGGCGACAGAAATTAAAGCATATGGGCGCTATGTAGTCACGGGCAACATGCGTGGTGGATATATTAAAGGTGATCACCGTTTTGGGCCGCGTTTGACTGGTTACGGGGGTGCCACGACGAAGCCGGGACTGCGATGGAATGGAGATGACCTATGAATAGCTGTCAGGAGACTGTTTTGTTTTCTGTAGGCATTTTATATTGTACTTTGCCACAGGGATGATGTTTTTCCCACAGGGATGGGAATAAAAGTTAGTTGAAATCCAGTTGTTTTTTTTGTTTTTCTTTTCTTTTTTTTTTTTTTTTTTTTTTGCGATGACGCCGACGGACGAATGCACTCGTCACTGTGTCTTTCTGTCTGCACGGCTGTATTGCGATGCCATGTTTTTCTTTTCTTTTTTTTTTTTTTTTTTTTTTTTTTATGCCTCTAAACAGGAATTTCTCTTGTGGGGGAAATAAAAGGAGGCGTGGAAGGCGAAGAAAAAACAACAACAACAAAGAAGGCGCTACTAGAGAGAGGGAGAGAGAGACGAAAGAATAACGAAAAAGAAGGATTGGAAGCTTCAATGATTATTGAAGACGCCATTGTGGACGAGGTGCCGACTGTTCGGCGAGTTCGTCGGTTGCGCTCGCAGTTTGAGCGACTTGTTCGCCCAGCCGATGTGCGGCCCGGGGAACCGATGCCTAGCATTGAGGGGTGGGTGCTGTTCCTCACAAACCTGCCGGCGAACACAACGACGGACCACATCCTCGACCTCTTTCTCACTTACAAGAAGGAAGAGAGCGAGGGGTACGCCCCTGTACGCGAGGTACGGATACCGTTGGACAAAAACTGCGAGTGCTGCGGCTACGCACTTGTGGAACTGCAGCGAAAGGATGCGTTTGAGCGGGCATTAAAGGAGTTGCAGGGTGTCGTGCTCCCATTTGCGGAGGGGGAACCGCCAAATGGCGAAGAGGTCTGGCGATTACAAATTGCGCCAACATTTTTGGGCGAGACAGATGATGACGAAGCATTGGCGGGCGAGAAGCGGGTCCGTGAATGATGCCTTTTTTCTTTCTTTTCTTTTTTTTTTTTTCTCTTCTCTATGTGTGTTCGTGGTTGCGTTTGGATCCGTATGCGTTGCGGCATGTTGCTGCTTCCCCCTTTTTTCTTTCTTTCTATCCCAACCACCGCACACGTACACACAGACAAGCAAACAGATGCGCATTACGTGCAAGTTTGGGCTATTGTTGCATTTATTGGTTTGCAGAATTGGTGGATTATTTGATGTTTTTTTTTTCTTTCTTTCCCCCCCCCCCCCCCCCTATTTGTTCCTTGTTTTTTTTGTTCGTTTCCGCTCCGTATTGGGGCATTCTTCTCGGATGACATGTACATTTAGGGTGGGGCAGGAAAGAAGTACCTGTTGTCGTGACATTCTTTGTAGTTTGAAAGGCACTCCTGTCGGAGGACACACAACAGGAAAAGGAAAAGGACACAAAAGTTCTTTTATTCGTTACACGTAGTGGATTTTCCTTTTTTTTTTTATGGCGGATTCAGGTGCTGGTGCTTCTGCCAAACTAGCGGCCAAAACATGTGTAGATCTTGCAGATCCACAGCGAACGAGCTTGCCGTTTGTATTGTTTGAACTTTTTATGGTGTCTATATTTACTTTCACATACTTTTTGATTAGGCGTCAGCGACGGTTGTTTGAACTGCGTACGCAGCAACGCCATGAGAGACTGTCTCGTGTCGAAATGGGATTTGGCGTGACTGTGAATGGTCCTGATTAAAGCGGTGCAATGAAAGGGGGGGAAACACGATGAGCAGTTTGCTCAGTGTACAGAGCAGGAACGAAATTTATTTTATTTTTTATGCTTCCTCTCTCATGGATGTTGCTTACAAAATGACGCACAGGAAGGGAGGGTTATTTGGCCTTTGCGTCTCTTTTTATTTTTATTTTTATTTTTATGTTGTTGATGGCGGCGAGTGGGCACTCATTTTGTGTCTCTTCATTGCACTTCTCTTCTGCTACTGCCTTGGGTTTGAACGTTTCTGATGATGAGGAGGAGGAGAAGGGCTCTTGATTGATTCTCTGCGTGTGAGTGTTATTCCTGCCAGTTTGTTGGGATGCAGAGTTTTGCGCGGCTTCGGAGTGACGGGGCACTCTCCATCGACCTTGACGAAATGGCGGACGCTTCCCCAATCTTTGAAACCACAGAACGTGAGCAGCAGCGGCAGCTGCAGCACTACGGCAAAATTGCTACTGGTCCAGCTGCTGCCGCCGCTGCTGCTACTGCTGATTGCGACTTTTCCTCGGAGCTGCGTGGCATTTGTAGGCGGCAGGGGGATTTTCCGTTCTCTGGCGCCGCCGACTCCGTCTCGCCGTGCCCACGTCGTCCATTCTCTGTTGTGAAAGCGGAGGATTTTGACGCACAGGGGCACGTGATGCAGGAGGAAGGAAGGCGCCTACCGCAGGAGTCCGCAAGTCAGGAGGTGATCGATGCAAGCCCGCGGCACGTGACGTTCGTATCATCGGCCGGGAACTTGAAGGAGGGAAGTCCACAGCCGCAACGCAGCAACGGCGACGACGGCGATCACCAACGGGTGCAGCGTGACACACTGGACCAACCATGCAGGAACAATGGGGGGGAAAACCGAATGCAGGAGGAACAAGAGATGATGATATCACCGAGGGAGCGGCGAAATGCGGGTAAACCCACCCGACTTTCACAGGATGAGAGGAAAGAGTTGTTTGAACGAATTGCCATGCCCGTACGAAAAAGTGAGGAGAAAAAAGATGAGACCTATCTTGCCCGTGATGAAATGAAAAAAAGGGAAAAAGATAAGGAAGGAGAAGGACTGCAACGATGTGTCTTTCAGTGGCCTGTACCATCTATACCTACTCTGACGCTGGTAGACTTGGAGCGCCACAACAAACTGGCGAATTATGTGCGCTCATAAATATCCTCATTATTACTGGTGTGGAAATTACGTTTCATTGTATTGTGAAGAAAAAAGTGAGATGGGATGCATCTGGGTCCGTAATGACTTCTCTTCACTTTTACTTTCCCGTGAATTGAATAGGGATATTTTTCTTCTGGGACCTTGCGTCTGTCCCGTGGAGCCGGTGACGGTTGGTGCTTCTGGCGACTACGTGGGTGATGCATCAGCGAGGCATTCAGCGTTACAAGAACGGCAAATCGGGTGCCTACACCGAGGAGTACCACAAACTTCTTGGCAAATCGGCGTGGATTGTCGTGCGACGCCTTGAACACGCAGACGCGAAGAGCGCCGTCAGTCTCTCTGAGGGAGATGTAGCAACCGTCTTCTCTCAGTTCGGTAACGTGGTGGATGTGCGGTTCCTGCGACATCGACGCACGGGGCGTTTCCTGGGCACGGCCTTCGTGAAGTTTGAGGATTATCGCAGCGCCATACTCGCCGCGGACGAGATGAATTCCAACCACGAGAGCGGAAAAGAGGTGCGGTTAACGGCAGCAGGCGGGGCAGATGCACGCGGGATCGAGGTAGAACGATGTGACGAGGCTGAAGTTGTTGCGGCACCCGATGACGGAGAGTCATACATGGCGTGGGTCGCAAGTCTGGGGATTGGAGAAAAGACATTGACACACTGAAAAGGAAATGCGTTGCCTGCTGCTTTTGTATTTATTTTTGTCATTCAGCATGCGTGTTGTTCCCTTCACATGGCGGGGGGTGGGATTGCCAAGCCAATGAATGACGGAATGAGAAGGACGGTGAAATGTTGGGTGCGGCAGAGGTGCACAGAGATCCGCCTGAGCGATGGGAGGAAAGCAAATTGAGGGAGACATTCTTTATTTTCTTTTCTCTTTTTCCAAGATTGTACATTCTCCCTTTTCTTCTTCTTCTTTTTTTTTGTTGTTGTGTGTTTTATTATTCCCTTTTTTTTTTCTCTCTCTCTTTCTCTTTTTTCTTTCTTTGTTGGTGGGTTTTATTATTGTAGTAGAACGGGGCGTAGTTAGGCACGACGCCATCTACTTACAAAATATATACCAAGAAAAGGTAACGTTACTTAATTTTCACTCAGGTAGGGAAACAAGTAAATAGACAAGGAATTAATATATAAATATTTACTCGGTTATAAGGCAAACAGACGGACAGAGAGGGCGAGAGAGAGAGAGAGGGAGAGGTAGATTATTATTATTTTTCTTTCTTAGGCCGTTTTTGCGTTTTTCTGAATGCAGTTATATGTACAGCGACTTTTGGGCGGAGACGCTACCGTTTTGCCGCTAATATTGTACACTATTGGGGAGTATTCCTCCTCCTTTTCTGCCTTGGCCCCATGGGAGAAGAGCCTCTACCAGCACCTCGTTAAACTGCTTCTTGTTGCAGGCAAACACTTGAAAAATGACACACACAATATTACGCAATCCGTGGCAATTGAGCACGGTGCGTTAGCTCAACGTATCTTATGTACTGCCTTTTTACGAGGTGGGGATACTGCCACTGAAGTTTGTCGCTCTTTGCTGCAAGTGGGTATCAGGGGATGCCGCGAAATGCGTCTTGATCGTTACATTGATGTCTCACCGGGGATTTTGGAACATGTATTGCAGTTTGTTTTGTTTTTGACAAAACTTTTTCATGTCCGTCCGTCAGATATTTTGACGGGACGCGAGAGCAACCAACGTGCTGAACACGCAGGCCGTGCCCACACGTTGTCTCCGTCACTGCCTGCACAATGGGGATTTTCAGAGAACAGCCGCTTAGAAACATCAGGGAACGGGATCGTGCCAAGAAGAAGCAACCATCGTCGTTGGCGAGATTTACCAGGGAAGCCCTCCTATGTGCCATCTAGACAGAATCCACTGTATAGTGATCGTGAAGGGGAGGGCTACTGGATACCACCGCAGTTTCCTACGCCTGTTCTGGCCTTTGCACGGAAATTTGGTATTGGCTGTGAGCCGCATTTACCCAATTTGAGCGTTTCTTTCTTGCCTACGACTTTGCTGGGCTCAGGGGCTTCTGAGGATCCCCATTTTACTGTTCGTTCCCCTTCTATTGTTGCTTCCCGTCGTTTGATGGAGGCTCGAAATTTTGAGCAACAGGGAGATTCTTTGTTCTCACGTTATCTTTCCAACGGATTGTTGCTAATTTGGGGCAGCGGTGTTGCGTTTAATGGTTTGGAAAATTTTGCAACAAAGTTTGAGTCGGAAACTGGGTCAACTTTTTCTGATGCATTCTTTTTTTCACCAATCGTATTAACACCACCCATCCCTGTCGTCTCCATGACCTGCGGGGCAAAATCATGCCATGTGGTGACAGTTGAGAATAAGGTGTACAGTTGTGGAAGTAATGAGCACGGGCAATTGGGATGCGGTCAATCCAAAGACACACCTCTTTTTTTCCCCAGGATTTACGGTGATGGCCACCAGTGTTTCTATCATGTGCCACTTTGTTCAGAGGATAGAATTGTAAAAGTAGAGGCCGGATCGGAGTTTGTTGTGGCGGTCATTCGTGAACGCAATCAAATGTACTTTTGGGGAGGAAATGGCTGTGGCCAGTGTTTATTACCAGAATCAAAGACTATTTCTGGACCAGTTATGGTGGATGTTCCCAAGGAATATGGTCAAATTAAAGAGGTGGCATGTGGAAGTGTTTTTGCCGCGGTTTTATTTTCCGATGATAAGATAGGGATGTGGGGGAAAGACTCTATGCTTGGGGTGACCTTGTCTTCGGAAAAACTTTGTGATACAGAGACAGGAACGGGAACAAGGTGCGCAAAGCATACTATATTCTCCAAACCGATAGAAGGAGAAATTGTGGCATTACGGGCCGGTCCTTTTCATTGTATTGCCATCACTTCTGCAGGACATGCTTATTCTTGGGGTGTGGATCGCAGTGGAAGTCTGGGGCATGGTACTGAACACAGTGGGAACAAGATACAACGGATTGAATCATTGGCAAATCATGTGGTTATTGATGCTAGTTGTGGATCATTTCATTCTGCTGTGCTTACAAGAGATGGGATTGTGCTTGTTTTTGGAGAAAACACATGTGGTCAACTCGGGCTTCGTGGTGAGGCACCCCGTACAACCCCGGAGCCTCTTCCTTTACCAAAGCCTGCCATTGCTGTTTCTTGTGGACGGGAACATACATGTGTGCTGTTGGAAGATGGCGATATAATGTCATGTGGGACAGTTCGCTCGTGCGGTATGGGTTTGGGTTACGGAGCTCGATTCAATATTCCCCAGCGAATTTTTTGGAGTTATCTTCTTTTGTCGATAGCAAGTAAATCCATACATGGTATGGCGGTAGGTCTTCCTCGATCTCTTTCTCTACACCCTGTGGGAGCATCGAATGGAATTGTTTCAACGGATGAATTGAGGCGGTTAAAGCAGACTATTATGCGGCAAGGAGTGCGTACTGTGGCAGCAGGAAATGGGTTTTTATTAGTCGTTACAGTAGCGGGAGAGGTGCAGGCAATTGGCCAATCACAGAGGGGTCAATTGGGTATAGGAGACACCACTATACCCTGCACCGATACATTTAAAAAGGTCGCGTTCCCCGAGCGGGTGGTGTTGTGTGCAGTGGATTGTGGTGCTGATTACGCCATTGGCCTGAGTAGTCACTGTGGTGTTTATAGTTGGGGATGGAACTCACATGGACAACTTGGACACGGTGATTCTGTCCCGCTCCATGAATCCCTTTTTACTCCAAGGGAGATAAAGGCGTTGCGTTGGAAGGAAGTTACTCAAGTTGCATGCGGTGGTACCTTTGCCGTTGCCCTCACTCAGGAGGGCGAGGTATACACGTGGGGGGAATCTCTTTACTGTGGTCATCCTCGTGTCGTTACACCGTGCTTGACGACTCCTATGCTTCTCGAGGGGCTTAAAGATGTCGTCGCTGTTGCAGCAGGCGTTTCACATGCCGTTGCACTTTCATATGACCATAAGATTTATGCCTGGGGGAGAGGGCCGCTAGGGAATGGGGGTTCATGTAATACAATAGAGTGTACCCCAGTGGTGTTGAAGTTTGCTCATTGTGTGCGGCAGCTTGGATGTGGACCGTTCAACACTTTTGCAATCACCGATCTTGGAGAATTGTTTGTTTGGGGCTTGAATGATCATGGACAGTGCGGTGTGCATCACTGCGAGGGTCCACCTCCGTCTTGGGATGAAGGGTTGAACTCTCACACAGACCGGAAACAGGAGCGGCGGCAGCGACATGCGACGTCGTCCTCGGAGGTGTTGTTCCCGACGCATGTTGCTCATGGTGTGCGTGATGCAGCATTTGGTGCTTCATGTGGCATCTTGATTTGGGAAGATGGCAGCAGTGCGGTCTCTGGGGAGATCCACCAAGATGGCAAGAAGGTCCTCTTTCATAGATTCACACCACAACGATTAACGATGACTTCTCGACATCAGAATAAGGAGGGCAATTCATCTCATGTTTTGGGAAAGGAATCTTCACCTGTATTTTTTTCACGTTGTTTTGGCGGGTTTGACATGTTGTTTGTTCTGTTGGAATGGGAACGTCCAAGCGCAACAGAGGTCGCAGGGGCAATTTGCAACATGAAAGCATGTCTGCATTCTCCCAGGACTGCGAGTGGAGGAGTGGAGAAGAAGGAGAAGAGGAATGTATAGGATGCACAAAGAGGAGGCTTTGGTCATGAAAAAGGAATTTTTTTTTCTTTTCAGACGGAAAAAAACAAAAACAAAAACAAACAATCAATCAATCAAAGACAAGGATGTACATGCACAAATAAAAAAAAGGAAAATAAAAAAAAAAAAAAAAAGGAAAAAGGCGCGTGTGGTTTTTCTTTTCTTTCTTTTCTTTTTCTTTTTTTTCGTGTGTGTATTTGCTGCAGGCGCTGCAGGGGTTGGCGCTGGATAATTGTGGCTGTAGATGCATTTTATTGCTTGTGTAATTTTCGTGAGAGATGGATACCACGCGTGTCTTTACTGGAGCGAATGAGGCGAGAAGTTAATAAAAAGTCGTGCCACTCTGTTGTTGCTTGGAAGACTTCTGTTTTTTTTTTTTTTTTGTTTTTTTTGGTCGTTGATTTCTAAATCCTTTTTTTTTTTTTGGGGGGGGGGGGGGGGTTGTTGGTTTTTCCGCTTTTTGCTTCATATTTGGTTTTTTTGCTTCCATTTTTCTTCTGACGGGTTCTTTTTTCTTTTCCTTTTTTTCTTTCTTTTTTTAAAATTTATTTTTGTCAGCTGCCAGTTTTTTCTCCCGCTGGAGAAGGTAGAGAAACCCTGAAATTTTGAATGTCTGTGGAGCGGTTGGCGTATCGACAGATTCTCAAGCAGGTGGGGCGAGCGTCCTTGAAGTACAAGGAGCCGGGCCATGTCTGCTTCGCCGTATTTGGGGTCATGCTACGCATGGATGACTTTGCCGCCGCGGGGTACGGCAACACGTTGCAGCGGGTGGCTCGGTCAGTTTTTTCACGTCCAAGTATTGCTGGGCTTGCAAGCGACAACTCGGCTGCACGTTTATCCGCCGCATTTGATGTCTTGCGACGACTGAACGATGCGACGACGTCAAATGTAAAGGTGCGAGAGCGGGTGGAGGGGCAAACGGAGAACACGTCGCATTTTCGATCTCCAAAAGGGGCCGTGAAGGCGGAGAAGGCTCCTGAGATTCAGGGTAAAGTCACACCTGTAGAGAGCGACAAGAGTTTGCAAGGTGATGATGATAACAACAATAATAATAATAATAGTAATACTGGTGTTGGGGAAGAGGATGATGTCATTACGATTGCCAATGGAACCATCTTCATTGAGGGCTCTGTGAGTCGAAAGGTGCGAAAAATATCGCGCCATGTGGTATTTTGCATGGTGTTGGACCGACTGCCCTTGTATCGGTTTTTAATTCCCCCTGAACCGTTATACACGAGAAATATGCGTACAAGCTTCAGGTTTCCTCTAATAGTGGATGCACTGCTTGTCATGGCTGCATCGTCAAACATACCAGGCAATGTACCAGTTGTTATTCAAAATGATGTAAGAACGGCAGAGGAGTACCGTGCGATGTGTGATTCCATTTCTACACGCACCGTGACAGTGACCGATCACGTTGAGGTTGAGCTTCGTGCAGAGTATGTTTGCTCTAGAATTCCTGACGAGGATGTTTCTGATGTTTCCGACGATGCGGACGTTCATGAGTCAGCTTCCCGGGGGAGCTCCCACAATGGCAGCTCCAAGTCAAAAGAATACGTATTTCGTTACGTTGTGTTTATTCGAAATTATGGTTCTTCTAGAAATCCAAAGGGATGGCACGTTCAGCTACTTTCTCGACATTGGGTCGTTTTTGACGAAGACGTGGGTCAAGTGACGGAGGTGATTGGTCCTGGTGTGGCTGGTAATTTTCCCCTTTTAGCACCTGGAGAATCTCATACGTATGAGAGCGGTGTAAGTTTATGTGGGACCTCCGGCGTGTTGCGTGGGACTTTTCAAATGAATGCATACAACGAGGATGGTGAGTCTTCTTGCATTGATGTTTGCATTGGTCCGACGCGTCTCAATGCGAAGGTCTGATGAACAAAAAAAAAAAAAAGAGAGAAAAAAAGAAGGAAAGAAGGAAAAAGAAGCGGCAAACGCATGCAGGACAATGAGAGAGGAGGGACGCTTGTGATCACGTCCCGTCTCTTGTCACGTTCGTCGTGTTGCTGAGGGGGAAAAGGAGAAGGGAAGGCCAAAAAAAAAAAAAAAAAGAGAGAGAGAGTTTGAGAGAGAAAAGAAAGGGGAAGGGATGCATCGCCGGAGGCTGTTAGGTGCAGTGACACCGGCATCGGTTGCTTGGGATAATGATGATGATCCCGTTTTTTTTTTTTTTGTTTTTTTTTGTTGGGGAGGGGGTTGGGTGGGTTGGTCTTGGTGTTGTTGTCGTTGTTGTTTGGCTGCTCTTTGGCGAAGAAGGGGAAGGGGGTGAGGTGCGATGGATGAAATCTCACACCTTGCAGATAAGCACACCTACACACCCTGCTGTGCTTTTCTTGCCCCCCCTCATTTCTTCGTTATAACTTCACCATCTGTGTGTTTGGTACATGTGTTTTTGTACTGCTTTTTTTTTTTTACTGAGTTTTTTTTTTTTTCCTTTTGCTTCTCTGTCTGTGCCTGTGGTTATTTAAAATAAAAGGAAGAAAGGGAAAAAGAATATTACAGTTGTAAAGGGAGGCATCAATGTCTCAAATGGATCATTTCAAACATTCTTTGGTCGATCTTTATATGGAACTTGGCGATGTACCGTCTAGCGTGACTAATCTTTTACAGCGTTTTTTGAAAGATGATGGCGTTATTGTGGGCTGGGGATCTGGGGGTAAGGGTGAACTTGGCACCACCTACCGCTGCAACCTCATCACACCGTTAATAATTGGTGGTCGAGATAAGGCTGTACGAATTGGTTGCGCCTCAACCACCTCTGTGTGGCTTGGGGCACGTGGGACGGTTCTCACGATGGGCAGCGGCCGGTGGGGAGAACTTGGTGTACCGAATCCGAAAACCTGTCCTCTTGTCACCGCCACCGAGAATGGACTTCCCATTGCTATTGTACAGATTGAATTGCCCACTTTTGCACGAGAAGATATGCTCATAGATGTACAAGGTGGGTTTGCCTACATTGCCGCATTGTCGGTAAAAGGAGAGTTATTTCTCTGGGGTGCAAATAACTACGCTCAATGCTCACCAATCATGGAAAATAAGTGTTGTCCCACAGCTCAACGCCGCAGTATTTTGAGCGAAAAAATTATTCAGGTAGCATGTTCAAACTTTACGGTTCTTGCACTCACTGCATCTGGTTCCGTTTACGGTTGGGGACACACTTTTCTTCTTGGCGATGAGGATGAAGTTCTTGAGCAGGCACCGGAAGATTCCGTGTTTACACTCAGGTTTGGTTTAGTGGATCGGACGGTTGTTTCTGAACCTGTAAAAGTCAAAGCACTGGAAGATAAATCGATAAAACTCTTGAGAATGGGACCGTGGCATGCTGTGGCAGTCAGCAAGGATGGTCAAGTATATACATGGGGATTAGGGAGGAATGGGTCTCTCGGCCATGGAACTGAGAGTGATATAAGGACGCCAACAAAAGTTACAACACTGGACTCAGTAGTGACGGAGGCAGCATGTGGTAGCTTTCACACATGCTTTGTGAGTGCCGAGGGTTCAGTTTTTGCCTGTGGTGACAATCAAGGTGGACAATGCGGAGTTTTTGGAGAGATGAAGCTCACAACCTGTTATCCCATGTACGTCCCTTCTTATCATAAAGTGATATCGGCCACGTGTGGACGACACCACACTTTGCTTCTTTTGGAGACAGGGGATGTCATTGCTTATGGGACTGGATTGGGTTTAGGCATAGGTACTGGGTATAGCATGCGCATGGTTCGTGGCGTACATATTTTGGACAATTATACAACGTTATGGCTATCCGGCGGCTCTTGTCATAACTTTTCTCTTGCGATACCCAAAACATTATCTTTGGTTGTCCTTGGGATACCACATGGTGACGTTTCCCCGGCACTTAGGGTGATTGACTTGAAAGATGGATTATTAACTGCTGGCTTGGGACAAGGCTTTTCCATCTTGGTGACTCGACGTGGTTCCTGCTACAGTATGGGTTTGGGTGGATGGGGTCAGCTTGGGGTTGATGTTCGAGGCGTGAAGGATTTTACTTCAGATCAAGTGCCTGTGGTGCGTAATGCCATGCGACTTTCTTATTTTTTCCGAACGACTATTACACAAGTTAGCGCGGGCATTTGTTTTGCTGCCGCTATCAATGAAGGCCAACGTGTGTTTACGTGGGGAAGCAATACATATGGTCAGTGCGGACTTGGTGTGAACCCGAAAGAATATCGAATTATAAGTGAACCCCGAGAGATTACATGGTTGGCCGATAAGTTAATAATTCAAGTTGCATGTGGTTGCTTTTTTGGCATGGCATTAAGCATCACAGGAGAAGTGTATACATGGGGTGCTATTGAATGCTGTGGTAATGGGCTGCAGCCTCTTCCAACGGATGTTCCGGCGAATCTTATCATGAATTCATTGGGAAATGAGAGCCATGCCAGCGTTTTGTTACCAGTAAGGGTATCTGGTTTGTCCAGCATTGTATCTGTAGCTGCAGGAGCGTGGCATGCTGTGGCGTTAAATGCGATTGGAGAAGTATTTGTTTGGGGAATCGGTTCACGCGGTCGTTTGGGACTTGGGAACGTGGAGGACCGCTATGTTCCAGGTAAAATTGCCATTCGGGCTCCCTTTACCCATGTTGGTTGTGGACCGTTTTCGACCTTTGCCATTACCGATGATGGAAGGTTGTATGTCTGGGGTGCAAACGAGCGGAATCAGTTGTCTGCGGAGGGTAACTGTGTGACGGTTCCAACGCATGTGCTTGATGAAGTGAAGGAAGCTGTTATGGGAAGGCACTACACCCTTGTATTGACGCGTGACGGTGAGTTTCTATTTTCCGGGGAAATGGAGGATGAGAATGGAAGATATGTGAGTCCATCCTTTTACGACACAGATGCCCTGCCTCCGCTTATATCAAAAGACATGGAGGAGCCCGGCTCTCGTGCTATACGAATTTTTGGAGGTGTGGATCATGCCATGGTGCTTTTTGAGAAGAACGTTATTTCTTCTGACACGATTACAGGCCTGTACTATGCGTTGCGGGAGCAGCCAAAGCATATTATTACTAATTTATTTCAGCATTGATGACGCGTCGGAGTGCCATTGGAGAGAGAAATAGTACAAAGAGAGAGGGAAAAAGAGAGACCAAAGGCAAGAAAGAAAATGAGAAATGTAAAGGGAGTAGAGAAGATACAATGAGAAATGAGGATTATTATTATTATTATTATTTTTTTCTTGCTTTGTATGTTTGGTTTTATGTTATTGTCTTTATATTATTATTACCATTATTAATTCTTATTGATTGCCTTGTTGTTATTTATATGATGATGATTATTATTTCCCACAGTGATGTTTTTATTTTTATTTTTATTTTTATTTTATTTTATTTTTTGTCCTGCATGTGAAATATTTAAGGAAAACGAATTTTTTGGGATGTGTATAACTATCGGCAAACATACAAAAAAAAGATTCAAAGAATTGACATATACATATCTGTGTGTGTGTGTGTGTGTGTGTGTAGATTTGTCTACTACCGGGCCTCCCTCTACACATGTGCGTAAAAGTGATTGTTTATATGAAATGTGAGTGAGAATTTGGTTCAAAGCTTGGTATTGTTTATTTATTATTTATTTATTATTTATTATTTTTTTTATTTTTGCCAGTCAGCTTCAATTAATTTTTAATGTTTATTGCATTGATTATTTTATTTTTGCATCTTTGCTCGTTTTCTCTCTACTCCCTCCCCCTTATGTAAGTACGTATCTATATATGTCTATATGTGTGTGTGTGGGGGGAGTAAATGAATTTTGGGGAGCCTGAGCCGCCATGGGCACCACCGTAAAGATTACAAATAAAAAAAAATAAAAAAAAAGAGGAATTATGGCTTTCATATTTATTTATTTATTTATTTATTTATTTATTTATTTATTTATTTAATTTTATTTTATTTTTTTTGTTTGGACTTCCAGTGGAGTTGAAACGCGACCGTGTCGTGCATGTTTACACGCCTTTTTTTTTCCTTTCCCCTTTTTAGCTGCATGTGTGTTTGTTTGAGTTCCGCATTGCTGGACTGCTCCAATGAATTCTTTATTTTTATATTTTTATTTTTATTTTTTCTTTTCCTGTTTGCGGTGGAGTTTTGTGGTGTCTGCGCGGTGGGATCCGTCTTTTTTTTTCTTTTCTTTTCCTTTTTTTTTTTTTTTTTTTTTTTTTTTGCGTGCGTGCGTGGGCCTGGCGCTGGGCAGGGAAACGCGGCGGACGTCAAGGCGAAAACACAAACGGGCGTGGAGCGAAGATAATACGCAGGTCGGCTTGACTCTTTTTTTTTCTTTTTTTTTTTTGGCAGGAAGCATCCACCGTACGCCGGGGGGTGGAGCGGGGCGAGTAGGAAGAACACACAGACACACACACACACAAATAAAAAAGCAACACACGAGGAAAGAAGGGAAGGGGTCCCAAAGACACACACACAAAAAGCAAGCAAAAGAGAGAGAGAGAGAAAAAGAACAGTAAAGAGCAACACCATAGGAAAGAAAAAGAAAAAAAAAATAGGAACTTAAAAAAAAAGGAAAGAATTGGGCTCCTTTGTCTTCCCAGTGTCATCATTATCACCCCTTGTTTCACTCGTCTTTCCGGTCAACAGAAGACAGACGGGGGCTGAGAAGGGGTGAGAAGAGGGGAGGACACACCACTTAACGCTTGTCTCGTTGACGAAGAGGGCAGGAAGTGGTTGGCTGGCTAGTAATTTTTTTTTTTTTTTTTTTTAGGAGGGGGAGGGTGAGGGGAGGGGGTTGACCTATTTTTCCCTTATCCGTCCACCGTTGCCCACTGTAGTAGCGGCTGCAGGTAATATACACATCTATACATCTCTTGGGTGATTGTTGCTGCCGTGTGTTGTGACACGCGAAGCGGAACGAGAGAGAGAGAGAATAAGTGAAGGAGGGAGGAAAAAGAACGAAATATATAAATATATATTTATATATTTATTAAAATAGTAATGGACGTCCTTGGCATGGAAATGCCGCAAGAGACAGCGGACCTGAGGCATATTTTACTGGAGCTGGAGGTAAAAATCAAGCAAACTGCTGGTGTGATGCGCCAGTTGAGCACTCTCTTTCCAGAGGAGGACGTTGGCACCACCACCACCAACAACAACAACAACAATGTCAATGGCGGTAGTGCCAAAGTGAACCCTACTGCCAAAGAATCCGTTGCAGAGGCTGTCGTGACGCCGCTAGAGGAGCTGCAGAAGTATGTGGATGCATGTGACACACTTATCCATGATCGCCTGGCGCACTTGCGTCGTCAGGTGGATGTTGCGGTGGAGGTTTCTAAGTCTTATCAAAAGACGTTTCCCGAACATAACGAGAGAGTTTGTGCGGCGGCAGCGGCGAATGCCCCTGGGGGTTCCCCGGGGGCGGAGAGTTATACACCGATTGGTGGTAACATTTGCTATGCGGATGTGCGACAGTATTTGTCACGCTTTATTCGTTGGGATCCACTGGAGCTTGATCGTGTTAGCAACGCGGCATCGGTGGTTGCGGATGAGGCGCATCGTCGGGTCACATCCTCGAATGCTGGGGATGGCGACGGCAACGAGCGGCAGTCGTTGTTGTTCCTGAATTCACAGTTACCCTCCGCACGGATTGAGGGTACTGTGCTAAGCTCTGCACAGGAGTCAGCACCAAGACGAGGCCTAAATGCGGTGGTGAATGATCTGCTACTGCGACAGCTACAGTACGATGGCATCCCGTTGACGACTGCAATGGAGATGGAGCTCGGATGTTACGATGGAATGACTGCAGGATCGAATTTAAACTCCTCCGTTGAATTCGCACCGTGTGATGTTATGATTTCACAAGAAATTCGTCGTGGTCTTTTGCAACCCCGTGCAGAGTCTGACGATGCGGGGGATTTAATCCAGATGGTGCAGAATGCATACCCGCACACGGTGCACTGGATATCAAGGATTGTGAGCCTCTGCAATATTCCTGCCACAGGTCATCATGGGACTTTGGGGGTTGGTGATGCAATTACAACGCGGTTGGAAGCTTTTGATGGCTCAGCGTCAATACGACAGCAGCCGGGGGATAGTAGGAGAAGCGAAGGGTTGGCCGATTCCACATTTCTTACGGAGTTGGGATTAGTGAGTGCTCCACACAGAGAGGAAGCACGGGTCGTAGAAAATGAAGAAGAGCTTTTAGCAGAACAAAATATACAGCGGTCTCACAATAGGGGTGAAATTTGGTTGACAGCGCAAATCCCGTCCTCGTTTGCAGCGACATGGGGATCCAGGGCGGAGGTCGGGGAGGAAGGCACTGCCGCATCATTGACCGGCGGGGCGATGCGCGACCAGCCTCATGAAGAAGAGGGCGAGCCGAGTGAAGAGGCGAATTCCCCTGATGCAGAGGTTTCATGGTCATATACGGAGGGAGAGGAGGAAGAGGAAGAGGGGGAAGAGGAAGAACTGGAGTACGTCGAGGAACACGAGGAGGGACAGGAAGAGGAAGAGGAAGAAGAGGAGGAGGCGGAGGAAATAGAGATTGACATGATCATGTATCCAGGGCCATCCACCGCCGCACATCGTCGTCATCGTCATCATCGTCATTTGCAGGAGCAGCAGCAACAGCAACAGCAACAGCAACAGCAGCAAGAAGGAGGGAATAAAAATGGGAGAGACAATGCGGCAAGTCCAAAGGGAGAAGGAAGCGTCAAGCTTGTGGTTTCTGCGACACAGCAGGCTAAAATTCTTCTATCGGATCTTGTTATCGTTTGTGCCCTGCAGCGTCTGTCTCAAATGCTTTCCAGAGGAAAAGATGCATCGATGAATTCAAAATTACAGCAGGCGGTTGACTTTGTCCTTACTCTTCGACGCCATCCGCTTGTGGAGTGGCGAATGATGTTTGAGCAGGAATTCCAGCATGCAAACGTAGGCGACGGCAAGAAGAATGGAAAGTCACAAGAGGATCATTTTGGAGCGCCACCACTGTTGCTTACGTTTCATCACGTTTTTGTTGCACTGGGCTACATGCCGCTTTCATTGGGCGAAGATCAACAAAGCAATAAACCTCATAATATTTCCCAAAGGAATAATAATGATGAAAAACCGAAGGATGGATATAACGCCCAGAAACGGTTTGCACAGGAGCAATTGCTCTCATGTGTTGCACCTTTTTTGCGTCTTTGGTGCGGATGCAAGGACAATGGCTTTGATGGTTTGGTTTCTTCAGACGTTTCCCAAGATGCGGGTAATGAGGAAGGCAGTCAAATGCACGCACCCGTTCTACCCATATGTACAGTGCCATATGTTTGGCGGGAATGTGTTTTATTTGAGCTTTTGGATCAGGCACATAAACTTCGTCAGTTGGAAGCACTTCTTGTGAAACATTCTGCGGCATCATCGCACTCTTCTTCTTCTTCTGCTGCTGCTGCTGTTGCTGACGGCAGATCACACCCGGAAAATCTTTTATATCGTCTTGTCTATCCCTTGAGCACCTTTATGTTAAGCCGGCTGGACGACTATTGTGAAAAAGGACTTGTCGGGGGATTTGAAGAAGAGCAGCAACAAAATCACGTACAGCAGCCAAACACTTCACTGCCCATGCCAACCAATCCGCCTCCTCTTCCTCCGCCACAACAGCAGTTGCATACCACCCCTTCGGAAACCGCGCGACGGCATGGCTTGAACGCACTTAGGACACTTTTTCCCGCGTTTACCAATTCCAGGAGTCGTGATCGGGTCTCCACCGACGAAGCATCTGGAGGCGGCAACGGCGCTGGAGTTGTTGGCAATAACAATAGTAATAACAATCATAATAGTAACAATAACAATAACAGTAATAATAATAATAATAATAATAATAATAATAATAATAATAATAATAATAATAATAATAATGTTTTGTCCACACAGCGTCACCCGCCTCCTTTGCCACAAAGCCGGCGTCAACACGCCATCATACTGGAGCTTCCCCATGCCACTGCGGTTCTGTCCGAGCAGGATGAATTACGACGTCGTGCGACGCCATCTTTACTGTTTCCTCAAAAAAACGCCTGTTTTCATTCGGCAAACCCCACTTTGTTCATGGACTCATTTCTTCACTGGCAACCCTTGTTTCAAAAGACCATGTGCTACTGCCCGGTGACACGTCGTCGCTGCCTCGATACACTTCTCTTTGGCGTCAGTCCAGAGAGACCGCAAGAAGTGTTGTCGACGTCAGGCAATCGCCCAGCTTTCAACCTTGCCCTTTTGCTCATGTGTGGACATGTCATTTCTAACCGGGCGGTAGTGTCGTTGCTGGAGCGACCGCAACGTCAGTCACGGGCGCAGGCGACGAGTGCTCGGTGCCCCTACTGTACGGCAGAGACTCCCTTGGATCAGTTGATGATGCTACACTGCATTTACTGAGGATAACCGCATAGTATTTAGGAATTGGCTTGATTGCTACGGATGACGTTTTACTATTTTTTTTTTTTTTGCTTTTTTGTCACAGTACAGTTTGTTTTAAAAATATTTCTTTTTCATCTGCGTTGAATCTCTTTTTTTTTTTTTTTTTTTCTTTTCTCTTCCGCTCTCTCTCTCTCTCTCTGTCTCTCTCTCTCTGGTGTGTATGTATGTTTTATATATAAATATGTATGAGCGTTTTTTTCTTTTTTTTTGTCGTTATTTCTTTTCTTGGAGGAAAAGAAAACAAGAAAAATAGCAACAACAAGAGAGGGACTCTGTGAAGGGGCCGAGCGTTGATTTTGCCTTTTTTTTTTTACTGAGGAGGAGGGAAGAGGAGGGATGTTTGTTCATCCTGCAGTTGTGGGGTCAATAATTTTTTACACGCCCCCCCACACACACACTCACTTTCACCTTTCACCTTTCCCTTTTCAGTCACCCCGCCGTTTTCAAAAAAGAAGAAAAAAAAAAAAGAGAGAAAAGAAAAGAGTACACATGAGGGAGCGACAGCACGACGAATTTAAAAGGTGTTTTTTTTTTTCTTTTTCTTTTTGTTATTTTTCATGGTGTGGTTCTTGCTGTATCTAAGTGTATCTCTTTTTCGTCCGTGTGGGGCCCATGGATCCCTGGCTCGGCAAACCTTTTTTTTTTTTTTTCTTTACCATTATTATTATTATTATTATTATTTGACTGCGCATGTTATATATATATCTATTTCCACCTATCTCTATGCAAGCAAGCAAAAGAAGAAGAAGAAGAAGAAGAAAAAAAAATGCAGCAAGAACGAGGAGAAGGGGGTGGGAGAGATTGGATGTTGATTAGGGAGGTGAGAAGATCTTGTGTATGTGTGGTTTAATATCCAGCCAGTTTTTTTACCTTCTTTCCATTTTTTTTTTTTTGTATTTTTTCTGATTGGTGGCTTTTGTTCTCTGTGTGTGCGTGCGGACGGAGTTTCCCTAGTTTTGGGATTGGTGTCAGTAGCGCGGTGGGACTGCTTTTCACATGTCAACAATGGATTCTTCTTTTGTGTCACATCGTCAGCGTGTCTTTGACAACCGTGTTGAGCGGTCGATGGAGGGATGGTCTGTCATCGCAAATATCACGGACTTCACGCACGCCGTTTGCCGTGTATCGGATGGCAGGGGCTCCGCCATTCTTGTCGCCCTTCCGTTTTTGGATTCCACCGCTCGCTGCGACGTGATTCAGGATGGACGGCAAAGCCCTCAAGTAAGGCGTGATGGCACCGGCGTGCTGCTTACAACGTCGTTTGTATTCCCCAGTCGAGAAGAAGCACAGGGGGCAACCGTGACGTTTCTCGAACAGCCGGTTGCAGGGACAAACGCACGCGAGGGGCGCCGTGTGGAACCGTTTCAAGCCCCAGTGAATGTGGAAAAGCTTTTTTTCTGTTCTACCCCTGGTGCCTCTGTTCTGCCGCGATCCAGGTGGGGCGTTGGAGGAGCATTCATGCCCGTGCCCAACAGCACGCCTTTTTCTGGAAACTGTACCGCCACTGGTGGGTCTTTGCATGGCTCGAAATTCAGTTTCATCGGGGAGGAGAATGAGGAGAATGAGGAGGAGTTGGGCTACACTTTGACGTTTTGCGACATGAATCCAACGGAGGAGTGTTCAGCGCCTATAGGTATTGTCGTGCCGCCGCTTGTTCCGCCTGGACACTCATTTATTTCTTCTTCCGAAGTGAGCGCAAGCGTCTCGTGCGTATCGTTACCTCAACAATTATTGCAGCATCGTCCTGCAGCTTCTTATTTGGAGCGGCAAGAGCCGCAGAACGCGACATTTTTCTCCTCTTCTTGCGGCACGGGAAGTCTTGCTGGGCGCCACGCTACGCAGCGATGGGATTCATATCCAATTAAGCCCTTGCCCCTGCCATTATTGTTGTCTCGAATTGCCGAGGTACGTGCTGGTGATCGTCATTTGATGATTACACACATCAACGGTCGTGAACGGCATTATGTTGTTCAGACGGTGAAGCGGGTTGGAAATGATTCATGCGAATATGAATTTTTTGATCCCGCGAGTGAATTTAGCAGCGGGGGTCCCATTTTTGACATGCGAGGGGATTTTGTGGGGCTGCAGCACCAGAGTGGGGATCACAGTTATGGCATTCTTATCTCTTCCATTGTGCGTCACTTGTTCCAATCTTCATTGTTGGGCGTCTGCCGTTTGCCCATTGTTGACGTCAGTGTGAATGAGAAGAATTTTGATTTGGACACCGTGGTGCCCGATGAAGTGTTTAATCAGCCTTTTCACATCAATCAACGCTATTGCGTGTTAAATGTGGGTGCGGGCGATCAATTGATTGAGTACGAGGATTTTCAACGGCTGCGTATGCGTAGTGATATCCTAGGATCAACACAACCACCTTCTCTTGTGGCGCCTGCAAGTGATCATGTATGGAAGGAATTTTACCGTGATTTCCGTAGTCTCATTCTTATCCTTTTTGCCTTTTCCCACGCACCCAAAGTGACAAAACTGGCATTGGAGGAGATAACATCGCATGATCACCGCCAAAACTTACCAAATGTGGCATCTCTTGGGGGTATTGGTATTGTGCTGGAGATCATTGATGGGTATCCACAGAATGAAGAGATTGTATTGGCTGCCCTTACTGTCCTGGGTCGTGCCTCTTTGTATAAATCGAATCGGGAGGCAATTTATCGCTGTGATGGGGTCCTGACGGTATTAGAGATTATGAATGAGTACTCTCATCATGCCTCGATTCAGCACTGGGGAAATTACTGTTTGTATAACGTCATGGCGTCTGACTCACCTGTGCGCACGGAGTCTATTGAACTTTTTGCATATAGTCAAGGTGTTGCAGTGGCTGTCGAGGCGCTTCGCGTACATTCTGCTGAACGCTACGTATTACGTCATGCTAGTTTTGCTCTCAGCTGTGTGGTAAAGGAAGATGTTCAGTACATTTTTGGAATGATTCGTGGTGGACTCACCAACGTTATTGTGGATCGGATGAAGGAAAATAGTGAGGATCCCTTTGTTTTTCTCGGCCTGGCAACCCTGCTACGTGAGCTGTTGTTTGGTCTCGGGAAGAAGAACTTGTTGGCCCCACTGACCATCCCAGCGGTGGCAATTGCTTTGGATTCAGGCGTATGGTGCGATGGAATACATTTATTTGGATTGGATGCGCTTAACAATCGCAGCAGCGGCGAGGAGGTCGGGAATGTTCTGCTGGACATCCTGGTTAAGGAAGGAGTTTTCACCGTCCTTGGGAAGGTCATGGCGTGTGAATCCCTGAACAGGTATTCAAGCGATTCCATGACGTTGCTAGAGGCATGTGCCGGTTCTGTGTTGGTGCTTCTGTTCTGCCGCGTGACGGAACTTCAAGCCGAGCTTTCATCGATGGAGTTGAAACAAACATGTGAAGAGATCCTGCGGAATTTTCCAACGGAAAAGGGGCTGCTGGAGATGACAACACGAATCATAGACATGCTTTCAGCCGTGTCGTGAGGAGTTTTCTTTTTTTCCCTTTTTTGGCGTGTAAAATATGTAGAGAAGTTTGGGTGTGGGCGGGCTTCAAAGTGGAGGGTCTCCTACGTTTTTTGCGTTTTTTTTTCTTTTTTTCTTTTTGACTCAAAATGGATCGTGAGTTCACCCACTCTTTCAAGAGGGGGGGAGTTGGATGCCTTTCCCTGCAATGCTCCATGTCCCTTCATCGCTGCCTGAAACATCATGCGGCGGATGACCGCATTTTATTTTTTTAATTTAACTTTGCTCTTTCCCGTGTTGTTGTCTGCTCTCCTGTGTTTGTTGCTGCACCGCCCACAAGGAGAGCCGTTTACCCAAAAACAACAAGAAGAAAAGGAGACAACCCACCAACCGCCCAACCAACCAAACAAACAAACAAGAAAAGTAGAGAGAATTAGCGTCTTTTTTATTTATTTTATTATTTTACCTTTTTTTTTTTACTATCTCCCCTTTTTCTCTCTGTCTCCTCAGCCGTGCGCGCGTGCGTGTTCTGTCGGCTTCTCCGCACCCATATTTCTTGTGATTGCGCCTTCAACGAGCGGTCCCACGGCGCTGCACCGCGGTAGACTTTAGTTAAATCTGCACATTCGCACATGTCTAATGGAAAAGATGGGTTGTTCTTGCTTTTTTCACCGACGAATGGCAAAAATACGCGTCAGAGTGCGGAAGCCGGACCAGGTCGGGTGAATGAGTCGGCATCATGCGGCTCCGATGAGTTATCCGTACGTGTGCGGTACCGTCGAAAAGAGGCTATACTGACATACGACAGAACGAGGGAACATGTTTCCCTGCAGCGATTGGACGGTATGGGACGGGTGGCCAACGTCGTTAACATTCCAACATGGAATATTGTGAACATTGAAACATTAGAAGAACGGGGCTTGCGTCAGTCACGGCACAGCACAATGGGTACGGCAGGTGGGACTTTGACGAAGACAAAAAGAAGCCGCCTGTTTTTGAGCCTTTTCAAGGATGTACCCCGGCGTCCGGAGAAAGGTTCTCAGAAGCCTGGAATCATGTCAATGTCATCACCCACGCAGATGAGCAGCCATTATTGCTGTGCCGGCGGATTCACCCCAACATTATTGAGGCGTTCTTCGTTTGGCCACATCCATTCCTCGGATTGTCCGGGATGTTTATATTATCTTCACTATGTCATGCAATCGGGTTCGTCGCTGCAGGTCTCCACATTGGAATTCTCACCTCTACCGGATTGTGAGAGCCAAGGAAAAATGGGGTTCCTTGTGCAGAGTATTTTACGAAGCGTGTACCCTAGTGGGACGAAGAAACTCATCTTGTTTGTTAGTCCTAAGTCCGGTTCTGGTAAGGCTGTCAGCATTACGGAGGAAAAAGTTTTTCCGGTCTTGTATTTTACCCGTCATGAGGTGAGTGTGATCGTCACCACTCGCGTCTTTCATTGTGAAGATTACATTGCGGACGTTGTGAACGATATCAATAGTGAGCATGTCATTGTTTGTGTTGGGGGAGATGGGATGATTCATGAGGCTGTGAACGGCTTGTTCCGGCGGAAACAAGCCCTGTTAATGAGGGAATCTGCGGGCATGAAACAAAAAAAAGGGACTTTACATGGGGAGGAGGAGGAGGAGGTACACCAAAAGGAGGAATGCTATGAGAAGAAGGAGGTGGACAGAAATGAGAATAGCGGTTTTTTTGTAAGGGATAAATATGGGAGTATTGAAGGAAAAGAAATGGCGGAAACGGCACAAATTGCAGATTTGGAAGGGGCTCAGCATGTGGGGAGCAATTCATCAAAGCCATTTGCACGTCAATTTGGCGTAGAAATTGTTTCGCATTCTCACTCCCATTCAGACATTCAACCGTTTTCAATGCCGTTGATTGCCACGATTCCCGCTGGCAGTGGGTGTGGGATGGCAAAGACGCTTGATATTTCCTCCATAAAGGAAAGTGTGCTTGCCCTTGTGCACCTCCGAACATGTATGAAGGACTTAATGAGCATGCAATACATACGGAACAGTGAAAAGGAAAAGGCTGTGGCATCTTTTCCGCACTTAATTGTTAATTCCGCCGGTGATAAGGGGAGAACAGATGACTCAAGGGGGGGAAAGAAGGAAAGGGTTATGGCAGAACGTATTGCTTTTATGACTGTGACATTTGGTCTTCTAAATACCATTGATCGTGGCTCGGAGAAGCTGCGATGGATGGGGAACGCTCGCTTCACTGCATATGGAGCATATTTATTTCTGAGAGGGGTGCGCTCCTATTCTGTACGTATGCGGTATTTGCCGTGGCGTGGACGGGAGGGACAACAATTGGCGAAATTTGAGAAGGAAAGTTTTATTCCGGGCGAACCGGAACTTCCTCGTTGCACGTGGACAAACGCCTGCAGTCATTGCCAGGCCAACAGGAGTTCCACCAGGAGTTTTACTGCTTCTTTAGGAGTGGATGGATGCGCTATCGCTTCTCGAGGCACGGCGGGTACAGAACCCCTTTCCATTTCAGAATGCGGGTCTACGGATTTTGATGACGACAGCCTTCCGTGGGTTAAGCTTGATGGAAACCACTACGCTATATTTTTAAGCAACATACGCGATGCCACGAAGGATATTATGATGGCGCCTCTGGCACACATGAGTGACGGTGCCATTGACATTGTATTTTCCAGGGAAAAGGGTGGTAAGAAGAGTCGATCCGATTTCTTAAAGTTTTTTACCACCATGGAAACCGGAAACCACGTCAAACTGCCGTTTGTGAGTTATATAAAGGCGCGAGCGGTGGAATTGGAGGCAGTTGAGGGGTTTATTATGTCTGATGGGGAGATGATGCCCTTCACAAAGGTGCGTATCACTCCACTACGCCGTGCTATTGAGTTTGTGCGAGGTCGTTAGAGTTTTTTTTTTTTTTTTTTTTTGATTCCTCCCCCACTGCGGCGGAGTTTTTGGAGGGTGGGGACTTCAGACAAATTTGGAGTGAAAATGAAACGGTTTTTCTGCCTGCTTGCTTGCATATTTATATACGTGTCTGTGTGTCTGTGTGTTTTTTTTTCTTTTCCACACTTTTGCTGGGGGAAAGGAAGGACGCCTACGAAAACGAGAGGGAAGGGAAAATAAAATAAAATGCGGTTTTGTGGGAGTATTCGTGGAATGGGGATTGCCGCGTTTGCCGGCCGCAGACGACGATCTATAGTTTGTTGTCACCGGATGCACGCCACGGAGGGAAAGAACGCATTGTCCTCACTGCACCTTGCAGAGGAAAAGGCACAACTTTTCTCGCGGCTTTCAGAGGCGTTATTTGCGGATGAGGCAGCCGCTCTTTCGCTGCGCCTCCCCGACACCGGCGAGTGTGAGGTGAGCGGTGCGGTTAATGAGGCTGAGGCGCTGGAGGCACCGTCCTCGGCCGAGCACTGCATGGAGGTTGCTCTTTCGCCCCCGCCGCTGTTGTCCTCCTCAAAAGGGAATGAGGGAAATGCTGAAGAAGGACCACGAGCAGACGCGGCAATTTGCGACAGTCTGTCACCGAATGCATCTTTTTCTTGCGCCATGGATGAGCTTTCCATGTGCCTTCACGGGAGTGAGTTTTCGACAGCCTTGGCAACGGCGGTGCGTGCTTTTATGTCAAGTGACACTTCCGTCATGAACCGCGCGGCCTCTGAGCTGATACTTGCTGGGAGCGATGTAAAGGCTCTTTTTTCTGATGGCACGCTTCGTGGCGTTCGAATGGAACATAAATGCATGAGTCAATGCGACTTTTCCACAATGTCTTTTCTTTCTGTAGTTGCTACGGATGTGGATTTTTCCCGCAGTCTTTTCTATGGTGTCATCTTTCACGATTGCATGTTTGTTCGCTGCTGCTTTGACGGCTGTGTCTTGAAGGAAATATGTTGCTCGGGAAATGTGCGTTTTGAGGAGTGTTCCTTCCGGTTTGCGAGTATCGGATTGCGTCTGTCACGTGGAGAAAAAAAGGCTTCTGTGAAGGTGTTGTTTGATCGTGGCGATTTTGATTTGGCAGACTTTGACGGTAGTGATCGGCTTCCTGCGAAGTGCTTCACAAACTGCTGCAACACCGACCTTGCCGCGAAATTCCCCCTTAAAGCGTATGAGGTGATGTCTTGAGAATGGAGGTGGGGATGAGATACCTGTTCTACACGGACACACACGCACTTTCTCCATCTTTCTTTCTGTGCCTGCGTAAGAGAGTCAGAGAATAAGAGGAGAGGGATTGTTTGAGGAGAAGTTTCTTTGAATTCTCCTTATTTATTTATTTGTGAAAATGCAGTTGATGTTGCGTTTCTTTGTTTCTTTCCGTGCGAGTGAGCATTTGTGTGTGTGTGTGGTGTATTGTCGGTTGTCTTCTCTCTGCCCTGTTTTTTTAAAAGGTACGTACTGATATCTCACTTTTCAGGGAGTGAATAAGGAAGGAAGGGACGAGAGAGAGGGAGAGAGAAAGAGGCATCAAGGATACGGGGTCATTGAAACGGGGGGGAGCAACGTTGCTGTGGAGGTCTACATTTGCAAGGAGACGAAAAAAAAACACGAAGGGGAGGGGAGGGGCGTAGGACGGGGTGTGAATAGGTGGCATACACGTTTTTTTTTTTCTTTTTTTTTTTTTTTTTTTTTGGGTATTAAATCAAAAGGTATTGGATCCGTCATATTCGTACAGGCTTACAGAAGGGACGGGAGGATGGCGAAAACCAGTCGGCATCGGATAGTTATATTTCCTTTCTGGGTCTTTAACACGGCTTTGATGTTTATGATGATGGTGGGGCTGCTTGTAGCAATGGCTTTGGTACCGGAGAGTATCTCTGGAGTAAGACATGCTAACTTATACGTGATTGGCGCAATAATGACAGCTGAAGTGGCCGCTTTTGTTTGTTTTCAGCATTTTATGTTTTTTTCACGTGTGAAGGAATTGTCGAGAATTCTCATGGAGGATCCAGTCATTACGGTAGGTGATTTATTGTTTATGGAGTATATTCGGTCTATTCCTGCGATGGGCATCGAGGAGGTTGTTTCCCTGAAGACTGCCATTGAGCAAATGTTCTTTGCGTTATCCAATCTTTGGCGTGATCAAGGATTATTGTCGGTTTTGAAAAGTAATGGCAGCTCTGCGGCTGCAGGAGGAGACAAGAATGCGTTCATGTGTCTTGCGACCTGCACCGCTGCCTTCAAAGCTGCCACCGCAGAAGGCGGTTCCTACGACGAGTACGTGGAGCCGAATCTCAGTAGCTTTTCAGTGGAGGATTATCTTCTTAGCCGACAGTATCACTACAAACAGAGGCTGCGGCCCACAAGACAGTCACCGTGCGATGTAGTCGTGCGGGCTTCGCCTTTAAAGCGAGGTCTGTTCCACAATTTTTCCCGTTGTGATAGCACGGTGGCATCTCCAACTATCGAGGCGGATTTCTGCACGGTCTGTTCATCATTGGGGGATGAGGTGGAGGCCATAGCGATTGAACAAAGTTCTTCAACGCGGCATTTAAGCTACCAGAGTTCCCTTCCCGAGCCATTGTCAATTAGTGAGGAGGAGAGCATGCTGCCAAAGGATGAGGACAACATGCACACTTATTGCGGTGCTTCCAATCGACAGTTTGTACCGGCACTTTCCGCTGAGGATCGTGCCCTTTGCGATCCCCTGGATGACAACAGCAACAACTCGTTTGAGGTGTTGACAAGATATTTGCATCTTGAGGGGGCTATTATTTTCCAAGTTTTGAAAACCATCAGGGTTGGGCGTTCGCTCAGTTCTGTCACATTGCCGGTGCATATCCTTGAGAGTCGCTCGCTTTTGGAAATGATTTCCGACATGTTTCTTGCGTGGGATATTTTAATGCCACTGGCGTTAGGGGAGGTACATCATCCCGTGGACCGTATGCGGATACTGCTGCGGTGGTTTTTCTCCGCTTATAATTGGCGACCAAAAGGGGCGGCAAAGAAACCGTATAATCCAATCCTTGGTGAGGTGTTTCGCTGCAAGTGCCCTGCACCACTGCCAGTGAGTTCACCAGCGTCGTTATTATCATTCCCGCCTTCACGAGAGCGCTTCTCACAGGCGCACGACACCTGTCCAGAGATGAATCCTAAACGTAGTATCGACTGCATGCATTTTCTCGCGGAGCAGGTCTGTCATCGACCTCCTGTAAGTGCTTTTTACGCCGAATTGCCCGACTTGATTGTTGCCGAAGGCGTCTTTGTCCCTCATAGCAAACTCGTTTCTTTGAACTGTGTGGCAAGCCTCAGCTGTTCCTCTGTACTGGTGCGATTTCCAAAGACGGGGTGGTCTTTCCGCTTTTCACTGCCCCACGCGTATGCCTCTGGCGTCGTTGCGGGCACCCCACGGCTTGAGCTTGGTGGTGTTGTTCGCCTGGAGGACTGCCAATCCCTCGCGCATGTCATGGTAGATTTCCGTCGAAAAGGTTTTTTTAGTGGAAAACATGACGAAGTTGTTGCGAAGATCAGCACAGAGGACGGTAAAGAAATTGCAGAAGAGTACGTGGGACTTTGGAATGGTCCCATTTACTCCCGAGGCACAGGAAAGGGAGTCGATGTGGGTAAAAAACGGCAAAATCATCACCTACGACCACAAGAGGGAGATGGGAAAGAGTTGTTGTTTGATGCAGAGATATTTCAACAGCAGCGTGGCATGCCTTGTTGCCGACCGTATGCGTATCCACTGCATGCCGGCAACGATGATCATCCGTACCCAAAGCAGAGTCGGGCGGTGTGGAAAGAATTAACGGCAGCTATTCGTCAAGGAGACGTGGAGGCAGCATCCAATGCCAAGAAAATTGTTGAAGAGGCTCAGCGTGCAGAACGACGTCAATTAGAAGCAGAAGGTCGGGTTTATACCCCAAAGTTTTTTGAGTTTATTGGTGCAGGAAAGCTTTCAGATGGAAATGAGGAGACGTTATCGAGACAAGAGAATTGGCGTTTCACTGCACGGGATATGTTGCTGAATTGACGTAAGTGTGAAGCAGAGCAATTTTTTTAAAATTATTTCTTGGGTGTATTGTCTCTGCAGGTGTTAGAGTGACATTGAATTGGCGTTTTTATTGCTGTTGCCGGCATTTATTTTATCCTATTTCTGTTTCTTTTTTGTTGTTGTTGTTGGTTTTAAAAAAAGTTGAATTTGGAGGCATGTATGTTGAGGCCTTTTCTGTTACTTTGATTTTTCTTTTTTCTTTGAGGATTTTTGTTTATGTGCGCAAGCATGTCTGCATGTCTTCTTCTTTTTATCTCCTTTTCTCTCTCTCTGTGTGTGTGTGTGACATGTTGAATGCATGCTTTCCTCGGTGTGTGGACTGTTAAGTAGTGCGACCCCGACAGGGATGCTTTTCCCCCCCCCCCCCACCCCTTTTCCATGTTGTGTTCCTTTTTTTTTTCCTTTGTGCGAGGATGCGGGGGTACACGAGGTCTTAGTTGGGGTGCATTATTTCTCTTTTTGCCTCATTAAAATAAATAAATAAATCTATTTATTTATACAAGTGTTTGCTATTTTTTTTTTTTTTTTACTTTCTTTGTACCTTTCGGATGGATGATGTTAATTTTGACTGTGCAATGTGGATGGATGCTTACAGTAGTTCTATCCCACTCTATTTTTTTTTCTTTTTTCTTCTCCTGCTCCTCCTCCTCCTCCTCTTCCCTTTTTTATATTGTGGCCCAGGGTAACGGATGAATATTAGTGCCCCCAGCCAACGCCGTGGGGAGGACCCATGGCCGCCGATGGAAAAAGAGGTCCAGGCGATGATGGATGGGTTGATTGTGCAAATGCAGCGGTACCCCGAAATTGCCC